AGGCAGGGCATTTTGCTTTCCTGTAGGTGTGGCACTGAGGACGGCTTTCTCCACCTGCCACCCTCGCTCTTTCTCCTAATTTTCAGGACCCAGACACAAGCTAAGTGAAAGATGCCCCCCAGAGGTATCTGGCACAGTGAGTAGCAGCCCATATTGAAGTATGGGATTTGAACTTTCAAAACTGAGGAAAGGGGAAGATCTCAGAGCTTCCAGGGAGAGGAAAATGGGCCACAGTTAAAAGCCTGGGAAGCTCAGGACCTCAGGCAATGTCAGCAGTGAGAAGACAGAAGGGCACTTCCAAATTCTGAGGATTCTGACCTACCAAGTTGCCCGTCATCCAGGAGGTGGAAATGAAGGCTTGCCAGTGGCGCTGGTGTTGTGCCCAGGGAGCCATTGGAGGCGCTAGCAGTGAGGGGGATGCTGGTGAAGGACCTGGTACATCTGGGGGGGGGGGTCCCAGGTGGTGCAGCAGTCTCAAGGCAGCTCACCCTGGTGGGAGGGAGGGCAGAGGGGCAGGGTATGTTCCTAAGCAGTAACACCCCCCCCCACCCCCCCCACACCCCGCCTGCCCAGGTCCCTGGCCACAGGAGAGGGTTTGTTACAGAGTTGCAGAAGGGATTATTAATAGCTACATAGAAAACAGAGTGAGCAAACAGACAAGTCATCTCTAGGAAAAACAAAATATTGTACAAGAAAGAAAGCGTAAAGGCCTAATTAGATTCAGAATCATGCTGTGACCTGAGTGGGAGGAGGGCACTGTGAGTACAGGGACTTGGCTGAGCCCTCCTCTCCCTTAGTCAAGAATCAGCAGCCCATCAAACGGTAGAGGTCATGAAATGAAATCAGCACATGATTTGAAAGTTTGATGATAAAAAGAATCAACCAAGGGTTTGTTTTGGGGGTATGGAATAGGGGTGGAGAAAACTGTGTGACTCTTTAAGCAAGGTCCACATGTGACTTCAGTGAATGAAAATCAAAGGCTTGCAGCCCCAGGATCCCAGATGCCCCCACTCCCGGGTGCTCCACCTGAGCTCGGTGGCTTCCCTCAGGTCCAAGCGCACTGCCTGCCTGTCAGGAGTATCGATCTGTTTGCCATGTGGGGTGATTTCCGGGGTGTCAGCAGAAGCATTTCTGTCAGTCATCCCACCCAGCCTATTTGAACGCCAACAGATCTGGGTGCGGCTTGTGTTACTGGCCAGCAAGTAGCCTGGTCCTGCTACCCCCACCCCTCGGTTTACTTTGAACACCCAGCTCTTCTTCCCTCACACTGGTCTGCCAGGGTACCAGGTGGCCACCAGCTGCAGAGCTGCCGCCCTTGAGCTCCTGTTCTCCACAATGGCTGGTCTCACCTCCTCTTGTTAACAGGTCTCGGCCTGGCTGCAGCCGTGGTATCCCCCAAGTGCCTTGCAGCAACATGATGGTCTCACCAGGACTTCTTCGCCCTTCACTCCTGCTTCCCAGCTCTGGGACAGTTGCTTTATAGTCAGGCGGCTCTGCAAACCAGCATCTCTGGATACACCTGATGGTGGGTGGGCGGGGCTTGCAGAGGCATGGGAGGAAGTGAGCCAGGCCAGTGATGGTGAGGCTGCCTCTGGCCGGAGCAGCTTGCTAGGGTGGAATGGCTGCCAGAGTCGAGTGGTTGTTTGCTGAGCCAGCCAGTGGGGGCTGTGGAGACTCAGGCCTGGGCTCTGCCGTTGCAGCTGGCCGGTCCTGCGAAGAGCTGCTTGGAATTGACAACTGTGTCTGCTGGAGAGGGACATGTGGAGGGTGGCCTAGGAGTGTGCAGCCTGGAAAGAGGAGCTCAGGGCTGCTCTCAGGTTGTCAGCGCTTTCAGGGTAGGGAGATGAGGGAGCAATGGCTGAGGCCCCTGATGTGAAGGGACAGAAGCTTTCAGCTGTGTTCGTTTCTTCTGAGGTCAGATGAGGTGATAACTGATGGCCCTGGTCGCGGGGGAGCTGTTCTGGGGCTCAGGGACAGAGGCCAGGGAAAGCACAGGGAGCCACCTTTGCTACTTGCTGACTCTTGGTTGGAACCCTGCCTGGCCCTGGAGTGCCCGGAGCATTGTGCACTCAGGCTAGCATGGCTCATGGTCTAGGCCTGGGCCTGCTTCTTCCTGGCTCCAGCAGATGTGGGGATGTCCACAAGGCCTGCTGCTGCTGGGGCTTAGGTGGGCGGAGAGGACCCATCTGTGTGCTTGCAATCGGTGTACTGTAGGCAATCCTGGATTCGGGGAGAGCAGGCGTGAGGCTGCAAAGCAGACGCTGAGGCGGGAAGGAGCATGTAGGCAGAGGGAGGTGACAGGTGGCACCTCTGAGGGAGCAGGAGACTGGTGCCAGGCAGGTGTGGATAACTCAGGGTAGATGGTTGGGTGCTCAGGCTGCAATTTGTGAACAGTGAGAAGCTATGGAAGGGTTTTGGGCTGGGGACCATTGAAGCTTAGTCTTCAATGTGCTGTTCATGCCAGAGGGTTGGTCCCCAAATCCAAGCAGGGGACCCATCTAGGCTCCATTGCTTATTTGGGAGTTCTTTCTGTGCCCACATGTGTGGGGATTTCCCCACCAGCAAGCAGGCCCTCAGGCTGCAGGGGCACCAGCTGGGTGTCCTCCAGGCCAGTTCTGACACTGCCTGGAGGTGATCAGGTCCCACAGGTGGCAGGCTTGGTCCCCAAGTATGCCATGACACCAGATACCAGCCAAAAGTCCAAGCCCCCCGAGCTTCTGACCAACTGGCTTCACGTTGAGTTCCCATGACTCCCTTCTGGGGTATGATTCATTTGCTAGAGTTCAGGGAAACAGCTTACACTTACTGGGGGATACAGAGGAGGCGGTGCATATGGTGAAGTGTGGAGCTGGAGCATGGAGCTCCCATGCCCTTCTCCTGCTTTAGCTACCCAGGAGCTCTCTGACCCTGTCCGTTTGGCCGTTTCATGGAGACTTCATGGGATAGGCATGACAGTTGTGTAGACATGAGACTGGGCAGGAACGGTGGGATCTGACACTGACACACCAGTGGAGAGACGGGGCAAGGCCTGTTTAGATTCTTCTTGGCCTCTTTCCTCCTGGGCATCAGGCAGTACCCCTCTGAAATGGGGGTCTTGTGATCAGCCAGGTAGATCAGGGTTTATGGCCAGCTCCCAGACAGAAAGGCGGGGGAAAGCAGAGTGCATTTTCCAATTTTCTGGCCTGCTCCAGGGAGGAAACAGAGCAGGAGAAAAGAGGACAGGAGAAGGTCAGAGAGAGAAATGCTGTTCCTGAGGCTGAAGTGCCCCAGCAGTACAACAAAAGACAAAGCAAGGGCCAGGAGAGTTATGAGCCAGGAACTGGGGACGAAAATCAATTAAGTTCATGAACTGGCCACCATGTGCTTACGTTGGCAGCTCTGTACAAACAGCTCAGTAAGGTTTCATACCTTGGTCCATCAGGGTCTACAGCTGTGTTTGTGTTGACATGTAGTGTGTCTTGCTGAGTAGTGTTCATGATTGTTAGGTTTTCGTGTGCCATTGTGAGAATGTTGGACCTTGAATTAAAGCAACAAAGACTCACAAATTTCTTGGCAAACTTGGCAAGAGTGGAAGTGAAATCAGGGACACATTACGCCAAGTTTATGAGGATAATGCCATGAAGAAATGCCAGTGTACAAATGGATTAAATGTTATTCTGAGGGGAGAGAAAGCGTTAGTGATGAAGAGAGGTCAGGGTAGTCAATAATGAGTAGAACTGATGATAACATTGCAAAAATTCATCGAATTATGTGTCAAAATCATAGCCTGATTATGAGAAGCATAACAGACCAAGTAAACATCGTTAGAGAAATAAAGTCTTCACTGAAAACCTTGACCAACAGCTCATGGCTCTTGCATCATGACAGTGCACCTGCTCACACGGCACTGTCTATGAGGGAGTTTTTAGCCAGTAAATAACTATATGGAACACCCTCCCTGCTCACCCCCTCTGGCACCCACTGACTGTTTTCTTTACCCAAAGATACAGGAAATATTGAAAGGACATTTTGATGATATTCAGGACATCAAGGGTAATACAGCTTTCATGGCCCTTCTAGAAAAAGAGTTCCAAAATTGCTTTGAAGGGCAGACTAGGTGCTACCATCAGGGCATAGCTTCCCAAGGGGAGTACTTTAAAGGTAACTGTAGTGACATTCAGCAATGAGGTGTGGAGAACTTTTTCTAGGATGATTTTGTGAACTTGTCAGATCATGTATGTCATGTGACACCATACTTCCTATAATTCCCACCAGACCAAGTTAATAATTCTACACCTCACAATGTCTTTTGTATCTTCTCTGAGTCAGTAACCTCCTCCTCCTGTGCTTCCCTCTGTCACCACAGCCAGTTCCTTTTGTCCTGTCATGAACCTCATGCACATGGAAACAATCGTCCAGCAGGTGCCTCTGGCATCTGGCTTACTGTGCTCAGCATCCTGTCTGGGGGACTCAGCCTCGTCATGTGTGGTGTCCCATTTGTGATTATCAAACGCATTCAGGCTGTGGCTGATGGACATTTGCGTCTGAGTTTTGGCTATTTCGTGAGTGATGTGGCCAAGATTGTTGTGGATCATGTCCACTGGCAAACAAGCACTGGTCTCCTTCAGGTATATACTAGGAGAGTTCTTGGATCATGGGTCATATATACGTTTGGCTTAAGCAGACCCTGGGCAGACACAGTTTTGTTGTGAATAATTAATTGGATAGCAAGTCATTCCCATAAACTGGAAAGTTCAGCTTCTGGAGGCCTCAGGACTAGAGCACCGTGTAGTAGGCCCTGCGTCCCATTCACTCTAGGGCCTCAAGCAAAGAGCCAACCCATGCACGGGCCCTGGTGGGGGATGCAGGCTGAGACCCTGGCTGGGCCAGTGCTCTTTCCCTAGATATGGCCAACGCCTGGGGCCCTAGAGCCCCCTTTCTGGGTGCAATGTTGACCCGAGAGCAGTGCTGGGCCCCAGGCTGTCTTCTGAGCACCCCTCACCGTGGCTTCTCTCCTCCAGGCACGAGCCTGCTGCAGGAGGTGGTCTACTTGGTGAGCCAGGGTGTCGACCCTGATGAGATCGGCCTGATGAACATTGACGAGCAGCTCCCAGTTTTGGAGTACCCACAGCCAGGCCTGGACATCATCAAGGTACCCTTGGGGCCAGCCGACCACCCTCACTGCTTGGGGTGTTCCTGACATCACACCCTGTCAAGTGACAGCTGCTTCTGAGGGGTGGGGGACTCTGTGAGTCAGGGGAGAGCAGATAGGCCCGGGAAACTCACAGGCCAGAGCCACGACCAGCAGCCCTGGGATCCAGTTGGAGTGTGGGTGACACATCAGTGTCGGGGAGTCTCCCAGTGGGAAGGAAGTAGATGCCTCGGGGTGGGGGTGTGGCACAGTTGAGGGACCACTGGTGGGAAGAAGGCTCTGAGCTGTCTCGTTTACCCCAGGGCCTTCCTGTCTGTTGAGGGAGCTGGTAGGACACCCTCACACCACGTTGGGTACCAGGCACGTGATGTGACCCTGGAGTCTTGCCCACCTGCCCTGTGGCACAGCCAGTGCGCTCTGTCCACTGCTGTGCCCCTCTGTAGTTCAGGCCTTGGTCCCCACGGGCCGTCCCGCAGCCTGCAGCTTATGTGTCCACTCTTCTGAGCACTCTGAACACAGCTCTGAGTATGTCCCTGCCCCAGTGCCATGGCAGAGGGTCCCTGTATAGCTCTTCACATGAATCCAGAGTCCGAGTGAGCTGGCCCATTTGTACCCTGCCTCTAGAATCCATGAAGCTGCCTGGCAGCCTCTGTCCATGTGAAATCCCTGGGAAGTCCAGTGCGAGACCGTGTGAGGGCCCACCATGTGCCAGGTGCTGGAAGAGAAGAGCAGAGGGACCCATGGCCTGAGGGTCCTGGCTAGTCCCGCAGCAGTGGGAAGGCCTGGGATGGTGGTGAAGTGGGGGTGCTGTGGGCACGGGGGTCTGGCTGAGTGAATGGTGCAGAGCTGACTGCAGTTAGGGGTCACCTTGGCTGCAGACTGGGAGGGCCAAGTGGCAGGTGGGAACCTGGGGGCTACACTAAGCCTGCAGTGCCCTCTGTGCTCCTGGGGCCTCTCCTGGCTGGTCTTGGATCCCATCCTTGATGGAGCCCCTCTTGGTCAGTGGCTCCCAGGTTCTCTGAACAGACCCCTGGGGCTGCGGCAGGTGACTACTTATACTGAGGACAAGGACATTCATTTCTATCTCAGAGTCCACCCTGGAGTGTGGTCATGTCTGGTGTTCATCTCAGGTGACATGCTAGGTCTGAGACCCTCTCTGAGAGGGCTGTGGGATAATAGCCTTTCCTTTTCTGCCTCTGACCCTGACTCTCTCTAACCCTGTCTCTTTCTCACCCTGTCCCGCCCCCTCTTACCCACCCTCCCTGCTAACTACCACCTGCAGGAACTGACCTCTCCCCGCCTCATCAAGAGCCACCTGCCCTACCGATTCCTGCCTTCTGACCTCCACAATGGAGACTCCAAGGTAAGCAGCTGCCTCTCCACGGCCCTCCTGTAAAGCACCCCCAGTGCATGTTGGTGACACTTGCCTGGCCTAGGGACTCTCAGCCCAGGAAACTCACAGTGAAGATCCTGTTTCCTTAAGTGTTCCACGTTGGGTCTCCCTTCCTGCAGACGAGGCCAGCCCAAGCCTGGCGCCTGCCTGTGGGGGGAGCTGCCTGGCTGGTCTTGACTTTCCCCAGCAACAAGGTCCTGAGGCCTCAGCTGCTCATTGTTAGGATGTAACTTTATCTCCTGCTGATTGCAAAGTAGTACTAGAGGACAAGAGGAGACAGTACTCGGGAGGTTGTCCAGCGAGCCCTGTGGTAGGGAAAAGACATTTCCACTGGAAGAGCAATGGCATAGAAGCCTGGGCAGTGCGCACGTGGGCCAGAGGCTGATTTTGGAGGCAGGGTGATTGATGACACCCTGTAGTGGGGCTGACTCCCCTGCCCCTGTCATTCGCAGGTCATCTACATGGCTCGAAACCCCAAGGATCTGGTGGTATCCTATTACCAGTTCCACCGCTCCCTGCGGACCATGAGCTACCGAGGCACCTTCCAGGAATTCTGCCGGAGGTTTATGAATGATAAGTGTGAGTGCTGCAGCTGGTGGGTGTCAGGGAGGGCTGGTAGCTGCTGGCTGCATCCCTGTAGGGCCTCTGGTTCCCATGGTGACCCCATGGGTTAGGCTCATGTTCCCCTTCACAGGTAGAGGTGCTGGGCCCTGGGCGCCATGAACTTGTCTGCAAGCATAGATCTGTGAATGGCAGAGTGGGTTTGTTTTAACTCAGTTTTTCTCCCATATAACCCGGCTGGGGTGTCTGACGTGTTCCCCAGTGGGAACATCCCTCCCTCCTGCCTGGGTTTTGCACATGGAAGAATGAAAACAGTAAAAGCAGAGACCCATGTGTCACTGCGAGAGTGGAGACGTAGCCATGTGTGACAACCTGTCGGGCTTCAGCTGAACCTCAGGGATAGGCAGGTGACTGGGGCAGTGCCTTGTCCAGGGAGAAGGGCAGCTGGGCCGAGAATGTTGAGTGCTCTGCTCTGGCCCGCTTCCCAGCTCCTTGGGAGGAGTGAGGCTCAGTCCCACCCTGCACTGTTTTCAGGAAGGTGGGACTTGAGGATGGGGGAGACAGCCCCTCTCCTCCAGCCCTTACTCTCCTGCCCCTGCTGGGCTCCCTGAGCCCCTTGGGAGCAGTGGCTCCTCAGTCCACTGCTGTTCCTGCCTTCCAAAGGGCTCCCCCAGCCAGCCATAGCCTTGGGTGTCCTGGGACAGGAAGTGGGCAGTGTTGGGTGTGTAGCCAGAAGAGCTTTGAATTGGGCCATATTTGTACATTAGTTAAATCTGTACTGAGACTGTTACTGTGGATCTGAAAATACACTTCCTGTTTTATCTTCCAACTGACGTTCAGCCACGTTGTTCAGGGTGATTTATCAGGGGTTCTGCAGAGACATTAAGTGACAAGATTAGGATAAAAAATACGATGGAAATCCAGGAACATGATGCCTCCAAATGTAAGTGGCACTTAGGGCAGTTGAACTGGAGCTGCCTTTTCAGTTCCAGGGAAGATGAGTCTCCCTCTAGGGCACTAGCAGACACACGTGCCTGCAGTTTACAAACCCAGCAGGGCCTCAAGGTCCTGAAGGAGCCTCTGCCCGCTCCGCCCCCCCTTGCCCCCCATCCCACTGACTCCCTGCTTGGGCTGTGCCTGCTTAAGAGGGGCCACCTGTGGGGCTTAAAGGCCATGGACTTGCACTTGTGGCCACCTGAGCCTGCTGAAGGCCCTTTGTGCTGCCCTCTACCCCAGCCTCCTGCCATCTGGAACATCCCCTGTGGTTGTCCAGGCACTTGGGCCAACCCGCTCATGTGGTTCCAAAGCCATTTTCTTAAGGCCCAGCATGCACTTGTGCCTGCAAAGAAGCTTGGGGACAAGTCACCATAAACAGCCAAAAGCTACTATCAAATTCAGACCAAATGGTAGGACTCATACTTCTTTCTCAGGTCAGGACCATTAAACCTTGTCAGATACTGAACTGAATGTGTTCTAGGTCCCAGGCCGCCCTCACCAAGTGCAAGGCTGCACACACTTGCCTCAGCCCTGCTGGAGCCCACTGACATGTCTGCTCAGTTTCCCCATGTTCCACACAACCTCAGTCCCTCAGTGACCCCAGCCAGTGCACAAACCCTGGAGCTACAGGTGTTCCTACTCTGCCCCAGGGCACTGCAAGGGCACCGTCTGCTATGGACTGAGGTCAAGAGGCACCTGCAAGGGCCTCACAAAAGGATGTTGTGACCCAAGTGTTTTAAGCTCGAAAAGACCGAGCTGCCAGGTGACAAGTGCAGTGGGGAGGGTGTGGTATAGACAGGCCCCCCATGACACACGCAGTGTGGAGGATGTCCTGTGACAGGCCCCCTGTGATGCATACAGTGTGGACGATGTCGTGGGACAGGCCCCCTGTGATGCATGCAGTGTGAAGGACGTCCTGGGACAGGCCCCCCATGACGCATGCAGTGTGAAGGATGTCCTGTGACAGGCCCTTGTGATGCATGCAGTGTGGAGGATGTCCTGTGACAGGCCCCCTGTGATGCGTGCAGTGTGGAGGATGTCCTGTGACAGGCCCCCCCGTGACGCATGCAGTGTGGAGGACATCCTGTGACAGGCCCCTGTGATGTGTGCAGTGTGGAGGTGGAGGACGTCCTGTGACAGGCCCCCTGTGATGTGTGCAGTGTGGAGGATGTCCTGGGACAGAACCCCTGAGATGTGTGCAGTGTGGTGGACGTCCTGTGACAGGCCCCCCGTGATGTGTGCAGTGTGGAGGATGTCCTGGGACAGAACCCCTGAGATGTGTGCAGTGTGGTGGACGTCCTGTGACAGGTCCCCCGTGATGTGTGCAGTGTGGAGGATGTCCTGTGACAGGGCACCTGTGACGTGTGCAGTGTGGAGGACGTCCTGTGACAGGCCCCTGTGATGTGTGCAGTGTGGAG